GGCATCTGCCCAGAGCGGCGCTCAGCGAGACCAAGACGAGGGGAGCCCTCCGGCTGCAGCGGCGCCCACACCGACCGGCAACGAAGGCAAGTTGAATGAGCAGCCTGCAGACCAGGTGGCACCTGCGCAACCGCCGCCGCCTATCCAGAATGCGCCGAAATCCCCACAAGTTTTGCGACGCTCTACCCGGGAAAGAAAACCTGTACGGCGTTTTCAATTCTATGGGAAGAGAAATGCTGTAATCGGCTTGCTATGTTATCTACCACCGCCTGAGCCAGGCGCGTGACATTCCAACAACTGAGCGTCATGTCTTTTTCCGCTCTTTCTTCCTTCCCAACTCCATCTCCCTTCCTATGCTTTAAATACTGTGTTCACGACGAATAAACGAGTCAGTCCCCAGCTCTGGTCTCGCCTGTCGTTCACGCACTGTGTGTGCGCGGGCTATGTAACAGAGTGAGGCCGAGGGGCGGGTGCACGTGACAACTCTTGTTCTTGAAGTTCCTCGCGAATCAGCACGCGCAAATCCGCATCCGAGGAAAGCCGGCTGTCACTGGCGTCTGGGTAGTCTGGGTGCAATCTATTGACTTGGAGTTCATCAAGATGCTGACGTGTGGTGATGATGTCCTCAACGGTGGTGGGGTTTTAACAGCCAGAGCGTTAAACGCGACATGTCCTATTCCTTTGATGATGTAGCGAGCACGATCAGCTTCTGTCATCGCCGAGTTCATACGGTGGCGAAGGGCAAGGACGTCTTCAATATACAAAGTGTACGTCTCCCTGGGATGTTGGACACGCCCATCAAGCTTTCGATTCGACACTTCGGAATGAATGTTCGGTTTCCCAAAAATCCTATGGACTTGCTGAGCAAAAGTAGGTGAATCCGGGAAGCTGCTCTCGTGGTTAAAAAACCATGTTTTCGCGACATCGGACAGATAGAAGGCGACGTGACAAAGTTTTTGAGGTTCGTCCCATTGGTTATATAAACACTGGTCATGTCGTATTTTTTCAGCCATACGTCGACGTCGTCATGTGGAAGACCAGAGAAGATGGGTGGGTCGCGCTGCCGGGCGTTGACGATTCACGCAGGAATGGTTTGTTGGACAGGGATGCTGCATGTTCCGGGCAGCGGTTCTTGAGTCATGACGGCGGACAGGGAAAGCAAGCGGCGACCCGAACGAAGCTCGAGGGGAACATGAAGTCGGAGAGCACTTGGGGATCGAAGCAGCCTCCATCACTCTGTAAGACAGCAGCAGCATTGGAGTCTCGACGGCGTTTATTAGGCTGAATCGCCTGATCAACGCTTCGGACGAAGGCGACGTTTTTTCGTGATGATGATTATATACAGATGAAGAAGATGAAGGTCAAATGCTGTGGATATTGTGCTTACAATATATTTACATGCAGGTGCATTTGGACGCTATTCAACAAGCGGTAGCATGTTCTTTTTGTTTTGTGCTCACACAGTGCCAACAAGCAACGGGCGAAGAAAAAGCCAGTTTTCTCGGCGTATCTACTTTTTCCATAATGCCCCGCGCACCTGAGGGGTGTTGTTGGATTGCTTGAAAAAGGTCTATTGCATCTTGCAGTGTATGCCAATCAGTTGACAAGTCTGCAAAACCAATGACACCACCATGGCAGCCAGTTGCATTTCCGTTGGCACCATGGCAGAAGCTATAAGTCGATATTGTGGGTCCTTTCACGAACGTGTTTGCAAGGCTGTCGCTGCGAGAGTGACTGCTACAACAATTATTTTCTTCCTACAAAGCATTTTCAGCAGGGAAGGATACCCAGACGAGATTGTGAGTGACCAGGGTCCTCAATTTACAGCCTGGGACTTCGACAGTTTTTTTCAAGGAACGCAGCGACACCCATACGTATTCGGCGGTCTGCCACCCACAAGCGAATGGCCAGGTAAAAGATTTAACCAGGTGCTCAAAGAGTATGTTCAGGTCTGCACGCGTGAACGTCAGCCTCTCAAAGAAGCCATCACCGACTACATAGGAGTTTACCCTTTCACGCTGCATGCCAGTACATGAGTGTAGCCTTCCGTTCTCCTACAGGGTCGTCATCCCATAACTAAACTAGATATGGTAGGAACGCCATGCAGCAATGGAGGCCATTCACAGCTGGTAAAGCGAAAGCAAGAAGCAAGTAAAGCCTACATCAACCCTCGCCAAGCGGCAAAACATTCAGGCCCACCTGTACAAATCAGGCTGCCAGAACATGTGCCTAAGGGTGCTGTGTGCTACTCAAGCCCATTCACAATCACTGACCAATGTGGTCAAGACACTTACACGCTAGGTGATGGTCGCTCCTGGAATCAGAATCGGCTAGTGCTTTACCCTTGGCCTGCAACTCACACTTACACGCTGCGTGATGGTCGCTCCTGGAATCAGAATCGGCTGGTACCTTACCCTCGGCCTGCTACTCTTGTAGAATATCTCTGTTGTAACTCGCCTAACGATTCCGATGATGCACCCCAGTCGTCAAACCTTGGGGCCTCAGTTTCAAGGGACCTTCTAGAACTGAGGGGCCCGACGAGGCAAAGAAGACCGCCGTCGTGGGTAAAACACTATGAACTACACCGAGTGCCATGTAGTGTCTACTTATTAATACTCTTTATAAGTGATTGGTCGAGTTTTCGAGAGGCGGGAGAATGTTGTATTCAGCATGTGCGTTTAGAGAGCCCTAGGCACGTGCATGCGCCTTATTATGTCTTTTGCGCCTTATTATGCGCCTTATTATGACCCCAGTAGTAACAGTGATCTTTGATTTCAAGGGTGAGGTCGCGATCACTGGCACGTGCGCTATCTAGGCAAGCATCAGCGCTCTTTCAACGCGAAGAGACTGTGAAAAGAGCACTTGTCCCTGGAGTGGCCGTATTCGCTTACACCAAGGTTTTGTAAATGTTCCGTGTTATTCAAACCAAAAGAGTTGGCTGCCAGCCTTACTTTATATAACATTACAATTTGTTGCTATCGGATTCATTGCATTGCATTTCAAAGTGCCGTCATGTTGTTGCTAGAGCTAATCAGCTAATTGCGAAAGCTATGGTCCTGCGAACTTGCGACTTGACGCATGACAGGAAGCACGTGACGTGTCGACTTCGACTTTCGTAGATGTGTTGTCACTGTAGCCTCTAAGAGCTTCCATCAGCGCCTAAACTTACATCGCCTCGGAATTGTTGACTCAGCTGTAAAAAGAAAGAGCTGAACGTCGTCAGGGGCCACACCATGCACGGGCAGTGAAGCCACACATGTGCGCATTTTGTCGAAAACGAAGAGCAAACAACGACGTGGGTACCACGGAAAACTCTTCAGTAAAGTGCTCTCCATATGCAGCGTGGCCCCGCATATGTAACGCTCAATAAAAGCATGGCACTGACAATGCGAAATTAGTTTTCTTTCTTTGTTTTTGCTTTGAAGAAAAGGGAAGGGCGAGTTTTTGAGAGGTGGGAGAATGTTGTATTCAGCATGTGCGTTTAGAGAGCCCTAGACACGTGCATGCGCCTCATTGTGTCATTCGCGTCTTATTATGCGCCTCATTATTTCCCCAGTAGTAACAGTGATCTTTGATTTCAAGGGCGAGGTCGCGATCACTGGCACGTGCGCTATCTAGGCAAGCATTAGCGCTCTTTCAACGCGAAGAGTGCTTACACGCTACGTGATGGTCGCTCCTGGAATCAAAATCGGCTGGTGCCTTACCCTCTACCTGCTACTCTTGTAGAATATCCCTGTTGTAACTCGCCTAACGATTCGGATGATGCACCCCAGTCGTCGAACCTTTGGGGCCTCAGTTTCAAGGGACCTTCTAGAACTGAGGGGGCCGACAAGGCAAAGAAGACCACCGTCGTAGTTAAAACACTATGAACTACACTGAGTGCTATGTAGTGTCTACCTATTTATACTCTTTTAAGTGATTGTTCGAGTTTTTGAGAGGCGGGAGAATGTTGTATTCAGCATGTGCGTTTAGAGAGCCCTAGGCACGCGCATGTGCCTTATTATGTCAGCTGACATCTGTGTATATTAACCATCGCGGACAAAAAAATAAACAGATTTGTTTGAGCTATTGAGTCGATGTAGTTGCTTCATTTGGGTGCACGTTAAAGAACCCCAGGTGGTCTAAATTTCCGGAGCCCTCTACTACGGCGTCTTTCATAATCATAGTGTGGTTTTGGGACATTAAACCCCACATATCAATCAATCAATTGATGTAGTTGCTTCGCGGTCCTGTGATTCTTTGACGTAGTTCGGCAGGGCGTGGCAGCGCATACCACAGGCTACTTACAAAAGAACAAGAAAAGTATAAGTACTATAACTACAAGGTGAGTTTCAGAAACATCCGTTATCTTGTCATAAGTGCGCTTTATGAGAGGCGTCCTCAACTCGTCAAGAACAAGCCCTGCGTGTGAGAATAGGTAAGTTTTTCCTGCAAAATTATTAGCTCGAGCAGCAATATATTAGCTTTATTGCAAGAAACCAACATTATGCTCAGAAGCAGCCAAGTATAAACAGCAGAAATGTTTGTTTAGGCACCGGCAGTTTTTGGTGAAATTGATATTCTTTGTCTGGCTACTCTTCTTCACTCCTTTCGATGCAGTGGGGCCATCAGGTCACTTTTGTTACTTCGTCTCTTGTTCTTGCTGTGTTTGGACGTGTTATCATGCTCTCTTTAGCGTTTGCTATTTTCTTTTACTTATGCAAAGTTGTAGTCCCCCACCATGTTGTTTAAGGAAGTCTTAAGGTAGGTCATAGGCTACTTTTACTGAGCCTTACCTAAATACAAGGAAAGCTCCGTGTTAAGTACAAGTTGAGTTCTCGAAACACATTAGGAGTGGACTTATGGCAAAGGTAAGTCATAAGGATAAGTTAGGTTTGTGAATATGGGGGTTGAAAATCAACGCATAAAGAGCAGGGTATTCTCACATGTACGTGTTTGAATACCCTGCAGGCCACTCTTGCCAAGCATCTAAGTGCCTATGTGTCTTTGTGCCTTTGCAGCATAGCCACTACTATGTGCGTGTTGCTCGATTCATGCCACGGGTGGAGATTGTCCAAAAGTACAACACAGCTGCCAGGCGGCTCTATCTGCGCGGGCAGAACGGCAAGGTAAAGGATGAGCTGTTGCCCGCATTGGAGTTATGGGTGGGCAGGGGAAAAGGGTGCGTTTTTTTTTTTTTTTTCCCCAGATTTACCCATACCTTGTGGTGAACGATGCATGCCTGAGTGACGCAAGGCGGGAGGAGCGAGTTCTGCAGCTGCTGCGCATGCTCAACAACCTGCTGGACAAGCAGAAGGAGACAGCCCGCCGCTTCCTGCACCTGGCAGTGCCTCGTGTCGTAGCAGTCAGTCCGCAGATGCGCCTCGTTGAGGACAACCCAGCGTCGATATCACTGCTGCACATCTACAAACAGGTGGGGCTTCATTGTGTGCAGCCTGTTTTGGGGTCTGCTTGGCACACAAGGTTTTGCAATGCAAAAGTTGTTCTGCACGTTCTAGAAAACCGCATTCAGTGAAAATTCTTTAGCGCCCTATGTAGCCTGAAGTAACAAGAACTGGACTTTCAAGATGAATGAAGTGGCAGTGAAAAGTTGAGTTCTCTTCAGGGACAGATGACAAGTTGTGTATTATGAGCTTCTAAACTAGCTCCTTGTAAAGGTTTTAAGAGGCAAAATGTAGACATACCAGTTATCACCCAGCTGTCTTTTCTGGCATTGCGGTATGATTTAGTGAATAGCTTGGAAGGGTGTCTTTGAGGTACTTCACACGTAGCATCTAACAGTCAACTGCACTGATTTTTATTTCTCACCAAGTGAAGTGCGTTTCAGCTGACCTTGGCACCCCCTAAGTAAACGAATTTACCATGTACAGGCTTTGGCACTATGTTCTTTTACTTCAAGAAACGGTCAAACCAGCCACTGGGACAAATGACATTCACATACAGTAATACCTCATCAACCCGAAGTCATAAAAAGCAGGGCAAATTTTGAGATAGATTTTCGAGATAAGCAAAGCCGCACCAGGAAAAATTAGCACTTTTCAGAAAAATTACTACTACTTAACTCTTCAGTGGCAGTTTCTAATCTGTCTTCTCGTGCAGGCTTAAAAGAAAAAAAATAACATGCAAGAGACTTTAACCGGCTGGGTTTTACTGCACTGCCATTTTATTTAGAAGAGAAAAACAGCCTGATGCTCATCTGCTTTGCAGTCCTACTCAGGTCTTGGAAGCCGTCCTCCAGCTGCTTGACGCATCGTATCAGTCGATTTTCTCTGCCGCTGCACTTGACCTTATTTCGAAGCAAGCACAGCAAATTTTTCGTCTCAGATGATGTCAACAGAAGAAGATGTCGGCAGCGTGCTTCTGCCAACATCTGCTGTGTCTGAGAACTTCGACCTTAGAACCAGCTTTTGCTAGCTGGAGGAGTTCTGCTAAAATCCATCCAGCCCCTTCTGCTCGTTTTTCAGCCCCATTGAGAGTGTATACAAAGGGATGCTGAATTTCGGCACCATGCCCGATTTCGTTCGGCCTCCTTTCTTTACTTTCCTTTTTTTCTAGCGTTATCGACTTGCACTGCTTTGATGCCATGCTTGCCGCACTCATGCTTAGTTGCCACTCCTAATAGGCAGTGAGAAATTTGTACCGCTCGGTTTGTGCAGATAAAGGGAAATCACACCTCAGGGAAAATCACAAGCACTGCTCTCACAGTCCGCAAAAAATCCGTATCGCGTGGTTTGTGCAAGTGAACAGAAATCGCACCTCAGGGAAAACATGTGCACTGCACAAAGCGAACGAGACAAACTGCGCCAAGCATGGGCAGAGGGCCTCCCTGCTCAGCGTATGTGTCACATGACGTGCCAAAGAGTTGCTTGACAAAGTTGATATGTCGCTGGGCTGAGACTTTGTGTACTACACGTTCGCAGAAAGCATCGATGTAGTGGCAGGCGTGGCTAAATAAGAAAAAAAAATCGACGGATGTTGAACGCGGCAGCATTACGCCATTCTTGTGAAATGGTCCGCCGGCGGAATTTACATTCCTTTCCCAGTCAAGATTTCGAGTTATCCACACTTTGACCTGAAAATACTTCGAGATGAAGAAAAAAATAGATATGGGACGTATAGGAAAATGCTCAGTGCCACGGAAAATTTGGACTTAGCTCATTTTTTCATATATGCGAGTTCAAGTTAACTAGGTATTACTGTAGCTCATTCGCATTGGCATCATTTGTCAATGTGGGCAGTGACTAGAATGTTGGCCACTCTCACATTGTGCAGCTATACTTTGAGTGCTACAAATACTTCTGAAAAGAAATTTGAGCTTCAAACGCGAGCTCAGGAGACTCTACTGAAATTGATCCAGCACAGTGTGCTTGCTTTTTACCGTTCAATCTAAATTACTGGGCAATGCTCGATTTCGTCTGGGCCCCTCTTCCCCGCTATCATTAGTGACAGATTTCTTTCCAGTGCTGCGTGGCTTGTAGCAGTGCGTCCTCACTGCATACACAGCCAACGAAAAATCCGGGCATTGCACAAATAAAAAGAAATCGAAGTGCACCTCCCAGGAATTTCTGGCGGTAAACAGAGCAAACTGCATCATACATTCTATATTGCGGGGCATGCCTCTGAGCATGCCTATTACATTGCATAGCATGCTGCTTTTCAATGTTGCTATGCCACTACCAGCAACTCCACCTGTGTGCCAACTGCACCAAATCAGATTTACTGCGTCATCCTGATAATATCAATGGAAATGATGCCAAACTAAGTCCCAAAGACTTATGCTTCTTACTCGCAGTAGCCATGCGGGTGCTTCAAATCGTGTGCAGCTTGCTCTCGGGGCCACCAGTTGTAACTATGTGCAGTTAAACATTCTTATAATACACCTCTATGTAACGAATTTCTCAATATAACAAAGTTTGTATTCCCCGCCGTTGCTCCATAGAAGCACATGCATTTGCGACCTCTATGTAGCAAAGTAACAGTGGGAGACAACCTTGATTTGCCCCACAAACAATCAAGGAATTTTGCTCTGTATTTTGGCATTTTGGTACGAGCTTGCATCTTCCGCTTTACTGGCAGTAGCCATGCTGGTGCTTCAAAACGTGTGCAGCTTGCTCTCGGGGCCACCAGTTGCAACCACGTACAGTTAAACATTCTTATAACAAACCTCTATGTAACGAATTTCTCAATATAACAAAGTTTTTATTCCCCACCGTTGCTCCATAGAAGCACATGCATTTGCGACCTCTATGTAACAAAGTAACAGTGGGAGACAACCTTGATTTTCCCCACAAACAATCGAGGAATTTTGCTCTGTATTTTGGCATTTTAGTACGAGCTTGCATCTTCCGCGGCTGCCCCGCCGCCAACGAAGCGCTAAGCGGCGGCGGCGGGCGCGCGGGCCACGTCCGGAGCACAGGCGAGCCTGCACCCCACGAGCCGTCTTTGCCACCATTCTTGCCATCGCGCTCGCATGCACGGGTGTGCGCCTTCACCACTCCAAACCAACATAAAAAAAAACTACTTTTGCACATTGGCAGTGCCACGCCTTTATTAGTGTCACATATATGGGGCCGCGCTTCATATGGAGGGCGCTTTACCGATTAGTTTTTCACAGTATTCATATAATTTTTCACAGTTTTCGACGCCGTGCACCTGCATAGCTTCAATGCGTGCGCATGGTGTGGCCCCCGACGACGTACAGCTTTGCTTTTTTCTTATTGCGATAGTGATTATGTATATGGACAGTCTCGGCTGGTATTTTGCCTCCACCGCTGTCATTCACATGTGTGTGTGTGTGTGTGCTTATATATATTGTAACAGCGTGTATATATATATTGTAACATGTGTGTGTAACAAATACTACAATAAGCGTCAGAGGACTGTTGAGAAACCTCGACACTATCCAGGAACTTTTACACAAACATACACCAAATGTGCTGTGTGTGCCAGAAACACACTTAAAATCGAAACACACCAACTTTTTATGCAATTACAATATTTTTGGAAAGGACCGAGATGATTTGGTTGTGTCATCCGGTGGTGTTGCCATTATAGTCGTCATTATAGGATGTGAAGTTAACTGCTGCAAAGTGCTCCCGGATGCAATATTACCAGCTTCAAAGTGCTCCAAATTGAAAAATTTTGCTGCTCCAAAAATCTCTTCAAGCCGGGAGGCCCTCGGTAGCATCACTGCACTAGGTTTGGATGGCACAACCTCGCTTGCGAAGTGGTCCTGCAGTCATGGTTTCATACCACTAAAGGTTTCAAACTATCTAAAATTCGGTTCTTAAATACATAGAGATAAAGGGCCATAAATTTGAATTGCTCTGTTCAGCAAAAAAATTTTCAGTGGGCAAATTTTTCTAAATATACAAATGTGAAGGAGGTACTACTGTATGCGAAATTTTCACACACCAATGAAACGTTGTGCAGCTACGATCTAACAAACTTACATCATCTAGGCTTGTGCAAATACAGTCAAATGGCTCTCTAACAAAATTGCCGAGAAAAGGGATGCTTTTCTTTGTCGTGAGAATTTCGTTGTCCCAAAAGTAGAAAAATATGCACATTAATGACTATTCAAAACCAGAATTTGTTTTAAAAATGTGGATGATTCCTTTTTTTTATGAATTTGTATGACAAGAAAGTGAAACGTATCTTCACAGAGGTATATGTTGAGCTTTTTTCGTGGATTGTTTTGCCTCAAGGGTGAAAAAATGAATGCTACAGCAATAAAATGTAAAGTCTCGCAAAGAACGGCAAGCAGCACAAAACCTGCAGCACCACCTCTAGCAAAAAGTACGCACGAAATGAGCCTACAGAGGACGTGGGCGGACTAAGAACTGTCACAGCTTGACATTTAAAGCCCCACTGTGTAAACAGAAATAAAGGCTGTGAAATGAACACACAAGTATACAAGGACAGGCGAGATCAAATGTCAATTCTTGCTTGTTCGAGTGTGACAGCGTGCTCCTTTTGTAAACGCAGCGGCAGCGAGCAAAGCGGCCTTCGTGCTTTCCCGAATTACGAGTCTGATGAGAGCGCGCGCAGGAGAGACCAAACTCCGTGGAGGTGACACTAATCGAAACACTAGAGGCGATGACTACCTTGAAAGCACTCTCAACATGAGATCGTCGTGCCTTCTCGCTACTGATGACAAAAACATGCTCAAGGCACAGAGTCCTGAGGACCGCCAAACAGTATGTGGTGTATACAGTTGAGCTTACCTGTAATGAACCTGAGTGTGATGCGACATCTATTCGCTGTATTCTCAAGTTAGTGAAACACACCTTTAAAAAAAAGTTGCCAGTGAAAACACAAATTTTTTTGTCAAAAAAGTTCATGATGATCGTGTTTCGAAGAGCAGGAGCGATAAGGATGGCCTTGAGTTTATTCAAAGCGGCAGCGTGCTCT